TTTGGAAATTCTCAAAGACGGGTCGTGGGAGGGGCCGGTGAGAGGGGCAGACATTAATATGTGCACTGCTTGACTGCTGCCCCCACCACTGCTTTGCATGGACAGCTCATGCAGGGGTTTTAAGAGAGGGGAGAGGCAAGGAGAACAATAAGGCACCACTTAACTGTTGCTAGCTTTTGATATTCCACATAAGCTAGCTCCTGTAAAGGCTCGTATGGGGACAAGTTGAAACACAAGATGATGAAACGCACCTGGGAGCAGATGACGCCGATGAATCCTGGCCGTTGGTGCTGCAGGCAGATGTGATGCTCTGCAATGACCCTGCGACTGATTCGCGATCGCAGCCTGTGGTATGTGGGGAGAGGGGAGTGAATAGAGTCCGAATTGTGCTGTACTGATGAAGGCGTGATTGGGTTCGCCCATCCGCCGAAACTAGTTTACGCAAGGAGGCTTTTCGGAAGCTAAGGGTTTTTCAGATCTGCGTTTTTTCACAAATTTTTCACTGTTGTTCCTTTACTTAAGCGTTCTCTCTACTACTGCAGCCCTTCGAAAATGAGTCAGGGTGATCGCGGCCTGTGGTATGTGGGGAGAGGGGAGTGAATAGAGTATTTGCGTGAGAAGTTGCTATACTCAAGGAGCGAATGGGGACGAGGAGATACATGTGATGTGATGCTCCGCAATGACCCTGCGGTTGATCCGCAACCGCAACCTGTGATAGGGGGAGGTTGAGGAGAATAAGGGAGGAGAGTGAGGAGGTGAGGAGTCAATGGAATGGGAGGAGTGAGAGGGGAGTGAGGAGTCATTCTGAGACGTTTCAAAACAACTCTTTTATCACGTGGGAGTGAGGAGTCACATGTGATGTGATGCTCTGCAACTACTCTGCGACTGATTCGCAGCAGTGGTGGGTGCGGCATGTGATAGGGGGAACGCAGCATGTGATGAGAATTGGTGAGGATACACTTGTAAGTGACCGTTATTGTGAGCACTCCCTCACTCTCAACCCCTAATCCCCCTCTCCCTCCTTCCCCCTCCGCTCCTCCTCTTTCTCCTGTGGCAGAATCTCCAGAACACGCCCTCACAAAGAGAAGCAGCGACTCACATGTTGTCCAGAAAGGGATCCAGGTCTAGCTCCCTCCCAACGAGTGGTCGCAGAGAGAGCACTCCTTGATCCAGGTCAAGCTCCCTCCTGTATCAACGCACATAAGCAGTCACTCACACAGCCACTCACATGTTGTCCAGAAAGGGATCCAGGTCTAGCTCCCTCCCAACGAGTGGTCGCAGAGAGAGCACTCCTTTGTCCCCAGCGCGTGAGCGCGTACACACAGAAGCAGCAACTTATGCAGTGATTCACACAGTCAGTCACCGCCACACTCACTCATACATACAGCGACTCACATGTTGTCCAGGAAGGTATCCAGGTCGAGCTCCCTCCCCACCAGCGGCTGCAGGGAGCACTTGAGTCTGGCCCCTTATCAGACCCACACAGCGACTCCCATGCTGACTCACATGTTGTCCAAGAAGGGATCCAGGTCAAGCTCCCTCCCCACTGCACTCCCTCACCCTCCTCACCACCCGGCCACCAGCACCGCTGCTGCACACATGGTAGCAGTCACTCCCATGCTGACTCACATGTTGTCCAGGAAGGGATCCAGGTCGAGCTCCCTCCCCACTAGCGGTCGCAGGGAGAGCACTGCATCTCCCTCACCCCCCTCACCCCCTTCACCACCCAGAAACAGCACTGGCAGTGCACATATAGCAGCAGTCCCTCATACAAAGAGTAACTCACATGTTGTCCAGGACGAGGTCTAGGTCGAGCTCTCTCCCCACTAGCAGCCGCAGAGAGCACTCCCTCACCACCCCACCGGGCCACCACCACCGCCAGTGCACACACATACACGGAAGCAGTCACAGAGACGATCATACCACACAGTGACTCACATGTTGTCCAAAAACGGGTCTAGGTCTAGCTCCCTCCCCATTAGCGGCCGCAGAGAGCACTCCCTCACCCCCCCACCGGGCCACCACCACCGCCAGTTGCACACACATACACGGAAGCAGTCACAGAGACGATCATACACACAGTGACTCACATGTTGTCCAAAAAACGGGTCTAGGTCTAGCTCTCTCCCAACGAGTCGCCGTCGCAGGGAGCACTCCCTCACCCCCCGCGCCAGCACCCCAAGGAGAGGCGTTATGGTCGTCCCACCAGCTGAGGTACATGCATGGAGGGGTGGAGAGGGGTGGAGAGGGGTGTGTACATATGTGACAGCTTAAGTGGAGCACTCCCTCACCCCCCGCGCCAGCACCCCGAGGAGAGGCGTATGGTCGTCCACCAGCTGAGACACAAAAAAGGGGATTTGGGTGGTGGTTGGTGTGGTGGAGAGGGGTTGAGGGGGGTTGCGTGTACGTGTGCCAGCCTAAAGGGGAGCACTCCCTCTCTCCCCGTGCCAGCACTCCCAGCAGTGGAGTATGGTCGTCCACCAGCTGAGTCACGCACACAACACACAAGGGGATGGATGGTGGTTGGGTGGGGTGGAGAGGGGTGGAGAGGGGTGTGTGTATGTGACAGCGTAACGGGAGCACTCCCTCACCCCCCGTGCCAGCACTCCCAGGATACACGTGTGGTCGTCCACCAGCTGAGACACACACGGGTAGATCTGGTGGTTGGGTGGGGTGGAGAGGGGTGGAGAAGGGTGTGCGTGCATGTGTTAGCCTAAGGGGAGCACTCCCTCACCCCCCGTGCCAGCACCCCAGCAGCGGCGAGCGACCGTCCACCAGCTGAGACACACAAGGGGATGGATGATGGTTAAGTGGGGTGGAGAGCGGTGGAGAGGGGTGTGTGTATGTGTACGTGTGACATCCTAAGGGGAACTCTCCCACACTCAGCATTATTCCTTTTCTGAAAACACAGAACGCAAAGAGAAGACATTATACCCGCTATGGACTGCCCCTTCACGCACCATGGTGAGCATCTGAGTGAACTTCACATTGTCTTCGAGAGTCTTGATCTCTGGAAATGCTGTGAGCATGTCCACGATGGAATGTGGTGTACCCGCTATAGGCTGCCCCATTATAAGTACAGCAGCACGCACCATGGTAAGCATCTGAGTGAACTTCACATTGTCTTCGAGAGTCTTGATCTCCGGAAATGCTGTGAGCATGTCAAAAGCCTGGCGGTAGGAGTCGTACACCTGCACATGGGGGAGAGGGGAGATGAAGATGGGAGCACATGCAAGCACACATGCTGAGACAAGCCGCACCGATGAACGCAGTGAGCATGTCAAAAGCCTGGCGGTAGGAGTCGTGCACCTGCATACGTAAAAAGGGATGAACATGGGTGGAATGGAAACATCACATCACATGCATGATGCATGCACAACGAGACTCCAGAGGAACGCAGTGAGCATGTCAAAGGCCTGGCGGTAGGAGTCATACACCTGCGTGCGAATCAAGGGATGGGTATGGGTGGAATGGGAGCATCACATGCATATTCAGTGAAACGCAATTGGAACGCAGTGAGCATGCGGATGACCTGGCGGTAGGAGTCATACACTTGCAGATGGGATGGAGGGAGCAGAATGTGGGTGGGAGCAGAATGTGGGTGGGAGCAGAATGTGGGTGGGTGCACCCACTTGCATAAGAGTGGGAAACCTGCAAACGCGCATGCATATGCATGCGTAGTGAGTGAGGCTCAATAGGAACGTAGTGAGCAAGTCGAAGGCTTGGCGATAGGAACCATACACCTGCAGCATGCGTTAAAAGGGATGAACATGGGTGGAATGGGAGCATCACATGCATGTGCAGTGAGACTGAAGGACGAACGAACGCTGTGAGCATGTCAATACCATGCACTGTAGACTGTAGATCTACAGCGACAATACATACAGCCACAGGCCTACCTGCTTGATGTGGGGGTTGATGACGACGATGTGGGGTAAGAAATGCAGGTTCCATCAGCCATCTTGCCAAAGTGATAAGCGTAGTATTATAAACTACTGTAGACCCACAGCTACCATGCATACACGACAAAACCTACCTGCTTGATGTGGGGGTTGATGACGACTATGTGGGGTAAGAACTGAAGATCCTTCAGCCGCTTCGCCACAATGACAAGAATGCTACTTACCATGCACTGTACACTGTAGATCTACAGGGACCACAATTCGGAGCCAGCCCTACCTGCTTGATGTGGGGGTTGATGACGACTATGTGGGGTAAGAACTGAAGATCCATGAGCCGTTTCGCCAGCCTTATAGGCATCTCTTTATGAACGAATCTGGGGGAGTGGATGAATGGGGTAGGGAGAGACATCGAAACACTTATTCGAAAACAGAAACGAGAAAACGAAAAACAAACAAACAAAGACACACAGAGCCAACCAGGTATGGAAACTCACATAATGAAACATGTACTGCCATAAGGGAAAGTAACAACACGAAACCCTAACAATTGAGAATAGGAGTAGCTACCGACTTACTTAGAGACTAACCAGCACAGATTCATTCACCCACTTAGCTAAGCACCCACCGTGCATTGCGCACCATGAAAGTGGGGTCTCTAAGCGCCTCCTCCCCCTGAGCCAGCATCTGGCTAAGTGTCAGGGTGTTAAGCGGCAGCGCAGCGTATTTCTCCACCGTCATATCGTAAAACGACATCTTCCCAGGCTTATGGTGGTTAATGTGTAGCTTCCGCGCTGTACCCGCTACAGAGTCTCGAGGCGACTCTTTATGAGACACGTGCTTGCGTGAGGTAATGTCATAACGTGACATTAGGTCAGGGATACGGTGGCATTTATGGAAGAATCGTGCTGATTTTGCTGTAATTTGATGGACTGTAGGTGGATGGTTGGAGAGAGTGTGACCTTGTACGGAGTGAATGTAGCGGTGGTCTTCGTGATGCTGAATCCTCCTGTTCCCGCGGCAGCTACTGGAATTCTGATATACTGTCGAACACTGGAAATCATCATCGAGTCCGCTCGGCGCGCTTCTGGAAAACGACGCATCATTTGATGGCGAATCCGCGTTATAAGGGGACTCAACTAAAGCAGTAGGTCTTCCACAGCCGGCTAGGGCTTCGCGATTGGGGTCATGGCGCGCTTCAGCCGGTCGCACGGGGCTGATCTCACACGTGGATGGAGCGGCTATCTGCCACGTAGAAGCAGAAGCTTTGCGGAGAGCATCGGTCGAAACGGAAAGGGATATAGAGGCGGAAAGGTGGCTAGAAGAGTAAATGCGAGGAGAAGCGCCGACGTCGGGGACGAGAGAGGGTAGAGTAGGAATCAGGCTACGAGAGGATAGAGCTGACGAGCTTCCTGCGGACGGCGACGAGGAAATGTGAGCGGAAGAGGCGATGTCGGGGAAATTAGAGGCTAGAGTAGGAATCACGCCAGGGGAGAATAGATCTGACGAGCTTTCGGCGGACGGCGACGAGGCGAAGCGCGATGGGTCGATGGGCGATGGGACTACGCGCGACGATATGGATCCTCTCGTGGCGATCTGGCTAAAAGGGGAAGAATAATTCGAACATAGGGAGGCGAAGCGCGATGCGACTGAACGCATTGATAGGGATCCTTCATTAAAAAGTATACGACTGAACACCATAGTTAACGGCGACTAAAGTTAACGCGTGATCTTAGCTAGTCATGGCGAAGTCCTGCTAGCAGAAGTCTTATCTCGTTCTTTCCATGGAGAACCAGATGTAAATTAGAACAAAAACACACAACTAATAGAGTCCACTATTAGAGCAAACTGCTCGTAAAGCCAACTGATTAAGTCTATTAATTACAAACAAACAAGTCGTAATAGAATACTAACTAACTAGCATGCAAAGCTGCTAAAGCTGCTACAGTCGCGCCATCCAGAGCAGCTTGGTTCTTCTTGAGCTTGAGGCTTCAGCTTGGGTCTTGAGAGTCTTGCTTTCTCGAGTCTTCATGACCCCTCTTGGCCGCTAGAGGCAAATGCCTCTAGCGTTACACCCGCACACCGCGTTGAGGTGGAGGTCATTCGTGCGGGATCTGTTTGGGAGAGGGGAAACACAAAACAATATCAAAAAGGAAGGGGAGGGTTAAAATTATTACTGTAGCGGCGGGAAACACCTCAGCTCCTCGGTTGAAGAGATGCCAGGTTGTCAGAAGAGTTGCCCGAAGAGGCGCGGAAATCGCACCTGTACCAAATTACAGTACCTGACCCCAACCAACCCAACCCCCGCGCGCGCGGCCTAACTACACCCACCCAAACCCACCCAAACCCGAATCTGCAAAGGGGAGGGGGATGGGGAGGGGAGGGGGGGGGTCAAACTTCCGCGGACGACGCTCCACGCGGCTTGGACCTCCCTCCTCGCCGCCAGCGCCGTTGTCCCCGCCAGCGCCGTTGCCCCCGCCCCCGCCAGCGCCGTCGTGTCGTCCCCGCCGTTGGCTCCCGCCATCTCCCGCCGTTGTCCTCTCCAACTGACACAGAGCACAAAGCAAGAAAGTTAAAATCCAGGAGAAAAAAAATACTAGGAAACCGGAATTGACAGCGTACCACGTAAGCTGAGTCGTTGCAGCTAGCGTCGTCAGCTCCCGCTCCCGCTTCCACGCCGTGAGCTGCACTAATAACACAAAGCACGAAGCACGAAGTTAGAATCCGGGAAGAAAATTACAAGGAAACTGGAATTGACAGCGTACCACGTAAGATGAGTCGTTGCAGCTAGCGCCGTCAGCTCCCGCTCGCTTCCACGCCGTGAGCTGCACTAACACACGAAGCACGAAGTTAGAATCCGGCAAGAAAATTACAAGGAAACTGGAATTGACAGCGTACCACGTGGATGAGTCGTTGCCGCTAGCGCCGTGAGCTCCCGCCGCTCCCAAGCCGCGAGCTGCACTAAAACGGAGAGCACAAAACAAGAAGTGAGAATCTGAAAATAATAACAATGGTAACCGGAATTGACAGCGTACCACGTGAAGCTTGAAGTTGAACTCCCTCTCCCGTCGCCGCCAACGCCGTGAGCTGCACTAAAACGGAGAGCACAAAAGAAGAAGTGAGAATCTGAATAAAATAACAATGGTAAACCGGAATTGACAGCGTACCACGTGAAGCTTGAAGTTGAACTCGCTTTCCCGTCGCGCCTCCAGCGCCATAGCTCCCACTCTTGCTGCTCCTGCGCTAAAGGAGATCACACACGAACAAGTCAGAATCTGGAAAAAAACCAAAGCAAGAAACCGGAATGACAGATTACCAAGGGAATGCAGTGCCGGAAGTCGGTGAAGATAGTCGGTGCAGTGCCGGAAGTCGGTGAAGATAGTCGGTGCAGTGCCGGAAGGGGCAGTGGAGCGGGAGGGGGAGCGGAGAGGTCGGGCTGGGGCTACCCTCGCTCTCCGCTGCCGCCCTGCCCCAACCCCGCTCGCACAACCCCGCAGACTCCTCATGTGAAGCTTTCTTCTTGCCTAAGATCTGCGAGTCTGCTCACATGGCGTTTCCACACGTCATGATATCGCGGCATAGAGAAATACAAAACCAGAGAGAAAAATTGCAAGAAAACGGAAACAAACATAACAGAAACGAGAAAAAGGAAATGGAAGCGCCGCCAAGCGCCTCGGTAGACGCGCCGTCCGCCCGCGAAACGCCCGCAGACTCCTCGTTAAGCTAACAACCTGCTCACATGACGACTCAACCCATCATGATACCATGGCAGAGAGAAACCAACGAGAAAACAACGAGGAATAATGAGGAAAAACGAGGAATAACGAGGAAAACGAAGCAACCAATTACAAAAACGAGAAAATACGACCACGCGCCGGTGAGACGCGCCGTCCGCCCGTGAGACCGTCACAAAGTAAGGGCCACTAGTTTGGGCCTAAATTTGACCAAAATTGTACTTTCGACCCAAAATTGGACCATGACCAGTCCAATTTTGGACACCAAAACCAGGACCAATTTTCGTGTACTTGGACATACACCTTTTGGCCAAAAAATACACCAACCAGGGTATGACTAGATTGGACCTGGATCAGCCTAAAATCAAACCAAAATATGTCCAATTGTGTAGTTATTTTGGGATTAGATGGTATTACATCATTGCGCGGTTCATGCACATATTTTCACAACATCAAGCACTAAACCCAGCTTAATATTAATTAAACAAGCCACCATACCAACAAACAGGTTCATCAGTAGAAAATGCCCTACAAGCCACAAGGTCCCATCCTACAAACCTCTGCCTCCCCAAATGACGCTATAGTCTACAAGCACACTGAACTTCACCGTCATTAGCCGAACCATAGCCCGGCTTATGCGTCCCCCACTGGCGTCTACTCATTACCCCCGCCACGCCCATTGCTGCTGCCTACCCCCACCTCCATGCTATACCCATTGCTGTTTCCACCGCATCCGCCAGCCCACACTCAATGCTGTGCCCTATGCCGGTTGTTGCTTCCATAAATGCCTACTGCTCACCCCCCCCCTATCACCGTAATCCCTGGCATCGTCCCCTTCCACCCTAAACACGTTGCTCCTTCCCGCCTCCCTCCTTATCTCCTACGGCCAGGTGTGGTTCCTGGGCAGGCACTAGCCTTCAAGACCGTCGTGGCTGGGTTGTCGCTTGGTGTCTGCAAGGTGTTGCCCGTGTTAGGCATCTCGTCTCTGCTGGGTGTTGGGATAGTAGCATTCTGATTTGCCGTATGTGCCATTGTAATGTTGGTTTTGCAGGCGCACACAACGATGGCAATTCCGGCGGCAGAGGGAGAACATTTCTCACGTGTCGCTCATTTTGTGAG